AAGGCCCCTCAGGGGCAGGTCCATTACATTCTGCACTTACAGGATATCTTCCATGTTGAATGACACTGGGTGGTGGTGGTGCGGTGCTCATTTTGCGCATACAGATGATGAATTGGGTCCCCAATGATGCAGAAAGTGAACCTGGTGTGATGACATCAGCATCACTCACTTCATAAATATATTTGGGTTCAGGGCACCTTGGTGAGGCCCCTCAGGGGCAGGTCCATGACACCCTACACTTACAGAATCTCTTCCATGTTGAATGACACTGGATGGTGGTGGTGCGGTGCTCATTTTGCGCATACAGATGATGAATTGGATGCCCAATGATGCAGAAAGTGGACCTGGTGTGATGACATCAGCACCACTCACTTCATAGATATATGTGAGTTCAGGTCACCTTGGTGAGGCCCCTCAGGGGCAGGTCCATGACACCCTACACTTACAGAATCTCTTCCATGTTGAATGACGCTGGGTGGTGGTGGTGCGGTGCTCATTTTGCGCATACAGATGATGAATTGGATCCCCAATGATGCAGAATGTGGACCTGGTGTGATGACATCAGCACCACCTCCAGGGGCGGACTGACAACTCATGGGGCCCCTGTGTCCTTGCTCAAACTCAAAAAAGCCTATGAAAAAGGTACCAGGGGCATCTCATGGGGCCCCCTACTGACCCCGGGCCCTCGGGCAGTGCCCGAGTTTCCAAATGGTCAATCCGCCCCTCACCACCTCCCACCTCCATGCTGCCACATATATGGAAAAGGGTTTAATAAAATATACATGACATTTTAAATCCAGACCTGTGTTTTTTTTTGTTTCACGCCTTGTAGGATCATTATTGATCCTCTGTGACGAGCACATTTTTTTTTTGGAAAGTAACCGGTTCTCTTTAAACGTGTTATATAGATGAGATGAGTTCATCGGATTTTGCGAGGTCTTCCCGCCGAAGTGGAGTTAGATATCATTTTCTGCTAATGGCAAATAAAGTTTGTCAGATTCGGTACGCCTCTGGAATTAGGTCAGGGAGTGTTGAGCGAAGTTTGTTCCGCGGCGTTTTCCTGATTGACTCAGCAGAAGTGAGCCGCCCGTTAACTTCGTGACACGGAGTGTTGACAGGGTGATAATGAGATTAACGACATCCCTCGTCTTGATTAAGAACAACGCCGAGCAGTGTGATGGCTAGTTTCAGACGTCTCAGCACTATACCGAGGTGAAAAAGTGAAGACCGTTGGGGCCGAGGAAAGAAATCGAAAAAAAAAAAAGCACTAGAGGCGACAATAAATGGACGCCGGGTTAAATCGTATGAGGGCCAACTAGAGGGACTTTCAGACAAATGGTCGGGTACTTCTCACGTCTCTTTGCCGATGTTTGTGCAGAACTTTTAGGTGCTTGTCCCACCTTTTCATTTTCCTATTGTCCCCTACATCATGTTATGATTTGTGATTGACTTTTGCTTTGAGATGCTTTCAAATACTTTTTCTCACACTGCAGTGCTCTGTGCAGGTAGAGCTGAGTAACAGCCACACCCCTCATCCTCACAAAGGCCCTCCCTCTGTAACGGAACCCCAGATACCCACGACTTTGTATCTCCATCAAGAAGCTGCTTCTCAGGCTCTGCAACATGAGACCAGTGATTCTGGCTATTGTTACCCCAAGATCCAGACGACACCAGATTTGAAGCAAGTTTGTTTGAGGGTAGACTCATTTATTTGAACACAGATACAAGATATATACACTCAGGGGACAGCCCCCTCCCCGCATAATGACACAGGGTGGGACAATCTACATTTAGTAAAAAGAGACACACAGGTATTCAAACTTCACACCAGCAGACTGCTCCCATGGGGAGGGAGGGCTGCTGGAGACACCCCCCAACTAAGCTAATACACATAAACACATACATCCCATAATAGTTTGCTCCCAAGCAAGGCAAACAATAGAACAATGGGAGGCAGCCACATAACACCAAACAATTCAAGACCCCCCCACCCCACCTATCTCCTAGACATGACTACACAATATTAGGACAGATCACCCTGTACCCTTAACAGGCACAGGGTGACTTACACATAATAGGGATATGGGGAGCTGAGACAGGGGTCTTCCCACCTCTCCAAAGTGAGCTGTGTTCCATGGGCCCTCCACCCAAAGTGACTCCCGTCACACCCTCCTAGTTAGATTGCTAGGTAAATTTCATTTTTGGATCCTTCTGTAATCAGGGGAGCAATGATTGTTTGGTCAAGACTGTTCAGGGCATCACAGGCTGGGGGAGTTTGACTGCTTCTCCCTGTCTCTGGAAGAATTTTCTGGAGCTTAGGGAGGGGGAATTGAACTGACCAGCCTGAATATTAAGTAGGGCCTGGCCAATCCCTGGGTGGTGGTTGGGATGCTGTTAAATAGTCTGGAGCCCTGAGATTGTTATTCCCCCCGCTAGGGGAATGGAGCTGTGAGCGCAATGGAGGGGGGGGGTTCTTGCCACTGGAGCCTCTTTTTCTGGATGTTGGACTGCTCTACAGGAAGCTGCACCCAGGGCCGCAACAGGGGGGGACAGCCCATACACATATAGGGAGCTAAAGGCCCCAACTGTCTTTAAGATGGGGCAAAAGGGACAGCTGCCCCGGGCCCAGTCATTGTTGTGGGGCCCAAATTGCTGCCTCTTGGGCTTGCACTTCCCACATAGTTGTCACACCATTAAGCTGTCCCGGGATGGCTGTGTCCAACGCTGAGTCACGGAAATAAGAGCTGCAGGTACACCAGCAGTCCTGCCTGCTGTCTCTTCGAGCTGCCACACCTTCTTCCACCTCTGTTTCAGTCATGGCCCTCTCCAGCATCCCCCCATTACAATTCTATGCCCCCGCAGCAGTCTGTTCAATCGTGGGCGCATAGTGTGCCATCTGGACCCACCCCCTTTGAGGAGTACAGCCAATAGGCTCCAGTGGGGTGAGAAATTTGCGGCGGGAAGTTTGAATATGGAAATGTGATCGATCAGAGCTGTGTGGAAAGAGTGAGGTGAGCTCCAGGACTAAGGAGGGACAGTACACTATGGTATTTCACCTGGATCAAGGCTTTACTGAGGGCTCAGGAGGGATACAAGGACTACACAGGGAGGACACCATGAGAGAAGACTGACATAGTGGGAAGATTAGACTGGCGGAGGACATGGAATGTAGGAGGAGGAGGACATGGAATGGAGGTTGAGGAGGACATGTGATTGGGGAGGCCGGGGAGGAGGAGGAAATGTGTTGGGGGAGATGAGACTGAAGGAAGAGGACATGGGATGGGGTCACAGTGGCTCCGGTGAGATCACTCCAAGCACAAAATAGGGTACTCTTCGCTAGGGGACCAAGAACTTGAAATCCAAATATAAAAAGTCTAATGAGAGCTCCAGACCAAAAAACCAAGAATCCCATCATCTGTTTCATATCTTCTTCACACAAGAAAACATAACTCAGCCAAAGTGTTTTGTGGGTTAAAGGGTCTCCTTCTTCAGGGTTTCTATGTAGTAGAGTGGGCTCAAAAACAGCCCAACCACCAGAAAAAGTATTTGGGAGAATGGACTGTGGAGAGTGCCCAGGAACGCGCAATAATGTTCCTGCTGCTATACTGTTCCCGGGAGCTCTCCACAGTTGTCCTCTCAACCTCATTCAACCTCAAGAGTTGGTTGTGGCCAGCTCAGTGGATTGCTGTAGGAAAGTCCTGGATTCTTTCTTGGATACACAGAATATAACTGGATATAACATTTATAGGTGACGTTGATCCAGGGAATATCTGATTGCCTCTCGGGGGATCAGGAAGGAATTTGTTTCCTTGCAGGAGGAAATTGGATCGTGCTTTGCTGGTTTTTTTTTGCCTTCCTCTGGATCAACTGTGGGTGTAGGATTATAACCTTTTTTTTTTTTTTTTTTTTGTGGTTGAACTGGATGGACTTTTGACATTTTTCAGCCATGGGTTCTGTGGCTGATTAAGGTGGTAATTAAACTCACCTAGTGCCTTACCTGCATTAACCCCTCGCCTACAGGGCACTTCTACCCCCTTCCTGCCTACAGGGCACTTCTACCCCCTTCCTGTCTACCGGGCGCTTCTACCCCCTTCCTGCCTACAGGCCACTTCTACCCCCTTCCTGCCTACTGGACACTTCTACCCCCTTCCTGCCCACAGGACACTTCTACCCCCTTCCTGCCTACAGAGCACTTATACCCCCTTCCTGCCTACAGGGCACTTCTACCCCCTCCCTGCCTACCGGGCACTTCTACCCCCTTCCTGCCCACAGGACACTTCTACCCCCTTCCTGCCTACAGAGCACTTCTACCCCCTTCCTGCCCACAGGGCACTTCTACCCCCTCCCTGCCCACACAGGGCACTTCTACCCCCTCCCTGCCTACAGGGCACTTCTACCCGCTTCCTGCCCAGGCCAGTTTTCAGCTTTCAGCGCTGTCACACTTTGAATGATAATTACGCAACATTGTACCCATATGACATTTTTATAATTTTTTTGAGACAGATAGAGGTTTCTTTTGGTGGTATTTAATCACCTCTGGTGTTCTTATTTTTTTGCTAAACAAACCAAAAGCAACTGAAAATTTTGAAAAAAATTTTTTCTTAGTTTTTGTTATAAAATTTTGTAATTAAGTGATTTTTCTCCTTCACTGATGTGCGCTAATGAGGCTGCAGTGATGGGCACTGATAGGCTGCACTGATGGGCACTGATAGGCTGCACTGATGGGCACTGATAGGCTGCACTGATGGGCACTGATAGGTGGCACTGATGGGCACTGATAGGTGGCACTGATGGGCAATGATGAGGAGGCACTGGTAGGTGGCACTGATGGGCATTGACAGGCCAGACTAACTATGTAACATACAGTATCTGAGCCCTGATAGAGGAGTAGATCTGTGAGCCCCCAAAACGTGTTGGATGTTTTATGTCTTAACATCAGTATTACAAGATTTTTAAAGGTGTAGTTGGTTGGTCTGGCACTCTCATTAGACTTTCTATCCTTTACTTCCTTTCCTGGGCAAGCAACAGGAATTGAGGGCAAATCTCCTCTTGTTACTGGAGCAGGTGTCCCCATTGGAACATTTCCCCTCACTTCCTGTTCTGGTGACAGCTGTCAGTTTTGGATTTTGCATGAATTTCTGCCTTGGTGACCGTGGCTCACAGGACAAGTAAAGAGTGAATCGTCCCAGCAGGGGACACAGACAGAAATAGAAACTTGACAGAAAATGTAACCCTTTTCTACACTAAAGCTACACTGTAGTGGATTTGTATAGAATTATTATTATACAGGATTTATGGCGCCAACAGTTTGCTCAGCTCTTTACAATATTACGGGAGATAATACAGGAACAATACAGTTCAATACAAGAGGGATAGGAGGGCCCTGATCCTTGGAGCTTACAATCTAGGAGGGAGGGGCTAGTGGTACAAAAGGTAGTAACCAGGGGTGAACTGACAACTCATGGGCCCCCAGGCAATAGGGGATCATGGGGCCCCTGTGTCCTTGCCCAAACTCAAAAAAGCCTATAAAAAGGTAAAAGGGGCATCTCATGGGGCCCCCTACTGACCCCGGGCCCTCGGGCAGTGCCCGAGTGCTCGAATGGTCAGTCCACCCCTGGTAGTAACTGTGGGGGATGGACTGGTAGGAGGAATAGAAGATTCCATTATTAGCTGACGGCAGGATAGGCTTCCCTGAAGAGGTAGGTTTTCAGAGATCTCCTAAAAGTGAGCAGAGTAGGCGATAGTCTGATAAATTGGGGTAGAGAGTTCCAGAGGATGGGGGAGGCTCTGGAGAAGTCCTGGAGACAAGCATAGGAGGAATTTGTGTAGCCATTCACCCAGTGAAAGAAAATTTACATTTGTTCGAGTGAATAGGAAAATAACTAATGTAAGTAGTAGGCTGTATAATGTGCTGTTCGAATGAAAATCATTGATTTTTGGAAACAGAAAATGCCACATTTGGCCACTAGACGGAGAGAAGCAATTTAGAAAATCCCTTTGACGCTTATCTCCATCTAGTGGCCGAATGCAGTATTTTCCATTATTTTCCATGAAGTGATTTACATTTGAGCAGCACGGAATGTAGACTATTTATATTTCGTGTTTGCCCCAGAGAGCTCTCAGTGGGAAAATAGCCATACAAATTCTTTAGTAATCAATCCTTGTAATCGTGTATGTGGTTTTTCTGAGCATCAGGCAAGTCATGCACAAGAGAAAAAAAAAAAAAAAGACTGTTCCACCGACAGGGAACAGGCAAATATGTGTGTCTAAGATCAGCTTTACTGTCTAGTAGGTTAACTGATCTTATCTCAGCAGTCATTCAATAGTATTGCCAAATGCTTGAATTACAGGCAACCACCAGAGAGAGAACCTCCACGTCTGAATACAAAATACATCAGAATATGAAAATGACATCAACAACAAACAATATTTGGGGTAAAAATTGCAAAAATATCTAGAAACGTTCACTGAAAGTATATTATAGAATTCCTACAATTGTCTGACAAAGGCGAAGCCAGCATTGTGTGCGGCTCATGATAATGCGGCCAGTAGATGGAGCTCCTCTGCAGCAGTCTGTACTCCAGCTGTTCAGAGATCAATATGTTGTTCATTGTCCTATAGAGAGACTCACACAGACATGAATGTGATCCGCTGAAAGTGCGTGTATGATCCAAGAATAAACTTCTCTTACTTGGCCACTTTTAGTCTGTTAAATAATTAAAATATACAGTTGAAAGCATTTTATTTTAAAAAAATAAAAATGATATATATAGATATTTATTATTTCAGGTACTTATGTAGTGCTGTCAATGTACGCAGCACTTTACATATATATTGTACATTCACATCAGTCCCTCACCCTCAAAGGGCATACAATCTAAGGTCCCTAACCCTCAAGGGGCGTACAATCTAAGGTCCCTAACCCTCAAGGGGCGTACAATATAAGGTCCCTAACTCACATTCATACATACACATACTAGGGACAACGTAGACAGGAGCCAATTAACCTACCAGCATGTCTTTGGAGTGTGGGAGGAAACCGGAGTACCCATAGGAAACCCACGCAGGCACAGGGAGAACATGCAAACTCCATGCAGGAGGCGCCATGGTCGGGAATCAAACCCATGACCCATTTACTGTAAGGCAGACGTGCTAACCACTAAGCCACTGTGATTATATATATAAAAAATGATGATGTATATATATATTTATTATTTATATATATATATATATATATATATATATATATATATATATATATGTAAATAAAAAAATTAATAAATATATACATAATTTTTTTTATATATATATATATATAATTTAAAAAAATGATGTATATATATATATATATATATATATATATATATATATTTATTAATTTTAATATGTATATATATATATATATAAGCTGCACATTATTTTTATATATATATATATATATATTCACACACACACACAACATAATATAGATAGATAGATAGATATAGTATACATTAAATTGCCAAATGTATTAGCCCCCCGCCCTCCCAATCATGTGATTCAGGTGTTCCAATCCCCTCCATGGACACAGGTGTATACAATCAAGCCCCTAGGCATGCAGACGGCTTCTACAAACATTGGTGAAAGAATGGGTCGCTCTCAGAAGCTCAGTGACTCCAAGCGTGGTCCCGTGATAGGTGGCCACCTGTGCAATAAGTCCATCCGTGACGTTTCCCTGGTTGTCACCAAAGCTAGTGTGCCTATTGGGAGATTTCCCCTTTTTTTTCCCTGTTTTGGTGACAACCCAAAATTTGGGATTTTCTTTCACTCTCAATGATCACAGTAAAGAGGACAAATAGAGAGGGGGGATCAGACAGCAATGAACACTTGACAGGGGTTGTAATCCCTCTCCATTCCATCCAAAACTAAAAAGGTTTGCCTTTAGCTATACTGTAGTGTCATTGCAGAGAGTGGACTTTATGAATGCCCAAAGATAACACAAAACCATTACTAAAACAGGTGTATACAATCCAGCCCCTAGGAATGCAGACGGCTCCTACAAACATTGGTGAAAGAATGGGTCGCTCTCAGGAGCTCAGTGACTCCAAGCGTGGTCCCGTGATAGGTGGTCACCTGTGCAATAAGTCCATCCGTGACATTTCCTGGCTACTAAATATTCCACGCTCAACTGTTAGTGGGATTATAACAAAGTGGAAGCAACTGGGAACAACAGCCAATCAGCCACCAAGTGGTAGGCCACGTCACATGACAGGGCGGGGTCAGCGCATGCTGAAGCGCACAGTGCGCAGAAGTCGCCAACTGTCTGCAGAGTCAATAGCTACAGATCTCCAAACTTGGTGTGGCCTTCAGATGAGCCCAACAACTGTGCGTAGAGAGCTTCATGGAATGGGTTTCCATGGCCAAGCAGCTGCATCCAACCCATGGTGTGGGGGTTGTTTTTCAGGGTTTGGGCTTGGCCCCCTAGTTCCAGTGAAGGGAACTCTTAAGGTGTCAGCATACAAAGACATTTTGGACAATTTCATGCTCCCAACTTTGTGGGAAGAGTTTGGGGATGGCCCCTTCCTGTTCCAACATGACTGCGCACCAGTGCACAAAACAAGGTCCATATAGACATGGAGGAGCCAGTTTGGGGTGGAGGAACTTGACTGTCCTGCACAGAGTCCTGACCTCAACCCCATAGAACACCTTTGGGATGAATTAGAGCGGAGACTGTGAGCCAGGCCTCCTCCCCCGACATCAGTGCCTGACCTGACAAATGTGCTTCTGGAAGAATGGTCCAACCTTCCCATAGACACCCTCCTAAACCTTGTGGACGGCCTTCCCAGAAGAGTTGAAGCTGTTATAGCTGCAAAGGGCGGGGCCAACTCAATTTTGAACCCTATGGTCTAAGGCTGGGATGCCATTAAAGTTCATGTGCGTGGAAAGACGGGAGTCACTTTGGGTGGGGGGCCCATGGAACCCAGTTCACTTTGGAGAGGTGGGGAGACCCCTGTCTCAGCTCCCCGTATCCCTCTTATGTGTATGTCACCCTGTGCCTTTTAGGGGTACAGGGTGATCTGTCCTAATATTGTGTAGACATGTCTAGGAGATAGGTGGGGTGGGGGTTGTGGATTATGTAATGTTATGTTGTTGCATCCCATTGTTCTATTGTTTGTCTGGATTGGGAGCAAACTATTATGGGATTTATGTGTTTACATGTATTAGCTTAGTGGGGGGTAGTCTCCAGCAGCCCTCTCTCCTGATGGGACTGTCTGCTGCTGTGAAGTTTGAATACCTGTGTGTGTCTTGTTGCTAAATGTAGATTGCCCCGCCCTGTGTCATTATGCAGGGAGGGGGGATTGTCCCCTGAGTGTATATATCTTGTATCTGTGTTCAAATAAACAGTCTTGTATGGTCAGCTGTGGTGTCTGTTGTCGGTGTTCGGACGGGGAAGCGGTATTCTAACGGAAGTACTCAAGCGCAGTCTGGGTCGGTTCCGTTACACAGGCGGTCCAATACTTTTGGCAGTATAGTGTATATATATGTATACTGTATATCTGATAACTACATAAAAAACACTTATTGATCCAGTCTGATTCTGATCTTGTGAGCTGATAACTTCCTGTGCTCTCTGCTCCACCCTTATCAGTTGCCAGTGTCCCCAGCTGTCTCTGTTGTCTACAGCACCTATGTTATGGAGATAGGATGAGGGGGAGGTGTTTTGTAGTCCTGGATAGGATATGTTGGCAGCACACCCACAAGCCTATCATAAAATGCAAGGTATGTATTAATAAATGATCACATATTTTTGCAAAATTTTGGTACCACAGAGGGATCCTTCATCAGGCACGTGCCATTTACACATTTTCCCGACATGCACAGAAATGCAAATGTACAATCCAAACACACACGTTCCTGCTTTAAAAATGGCGGGTGTGTATAAGTGGGTGCTGCAGTGACCGTCGGCTGGAACCGAACAGAATCAGCAAGGGAGAATGTCACCAGCACACCGAGGATCACCAATACGGGTCCAAAGGTTTTAATGAACGATCACATAGTTACAGCAAGGCAACGTTTCGGAGTCTCGCAGGACCCCTTCATGAGCCGTGTGACCATCACATGGCCGATGAAGGGGTCCTGTGAGACTCCGAAATGTTGCCTTGCTGTAACTATGAGATTGTTCATTAAAACTTTTGGACCCGTATTGGTGATCCTCGATGTGCTGGTGATATTCTCCCATGCACAGAAATGCTATGCAATCAGGGGCGGACTGACCATTTGGAAACTTGGGCACTGCCTGAGGGTCCGGGGTCAGTAGGGGGCCCCATGAGATTCCCCTGGTACCTTTTTCATAGGCTTTTTTGAGTTTAGGCAAGGACACAGGGGCCCCATGATCCCCTATTGCCCGGGGGCCCCATGAGTTGTCAGTTCGCCCCTGAACGCAATTTTGCAAAAGGATCAGGGGCTTCTTTTGTGCATTTCTTGCCCATAAGGCAACCAGTGGAAATTAATGGGCTGCCCTACAATTTACACAAGGGAACCTGCAGGACCTGTCACACCTGCATGGTAGAAATGTGGTCCTGAAATGATCATTCAATGATAGGTACATAGCACTTCGGTGTGCTGACAACCAGGGGCAGACTGATCATTTGAGCACTAGGGCACTGCCCAAGGGCCTGGGGTCAGTGGGGGGCCCCATGAGGTGCCCCTAGTACCTTTCATTGTCTTTTTCATAGACTTTTTTGGGTGTGGGCAAGGATACAGGCCCCATGATCCCCTATTGTCCAGGGGCCCCATGAGTTGTCAGTCCACCCCTGCTGACAACATATCTTATCAGGGGTCTTTACAGCTTCCTGATAACTATAGGGTCCAACCATTCCAGTATATGATATGTCAGGACATATACTACTCATTGTGTTCTGTAGTACTAACATATTTATTTATTTCAGGTACTTATATAGCATCTCTTTACATATATATTGTACATTCACATCAGTCCCCGCCCCCAAGGGGCAAAAAATCGAAGGTCCCTAACTCACATTCGTACATACACATACTGGGGCCAATTTAGACAGGAACCAATTAACCTCGCAGCATGTCTTTAGAGTGTGGGAGGAAACCGGATTACCCGGAGGAAACCCACGCAGGCACAGGGAGAACATGCAAACTCCAGGCAGGTGGTGCCATGGTTAGAAGTGGTAGAAGTGCTCCAGGTAGAAGTGCTAACCATTTAGCCATACTTCCTGTCCTGGAGCTCAGAATCGAACCCGCTTCCCAAGGGGGTGCGCAGAGAAGAGGAGGAGCAAGGAGTGCTGGCAGGGGAACCCCGGGAGAAGAGGATCAGGGTTGCTCTCTGCAAAACCATAGAGCACGTAAGTATGACATTTTTTTTTTTTTTTACTAAACTTCACAATCAATTTAACTGAGTGGTGAGTCTGCTGCGGACCGTGCTGGAGAGAAGCTGAGTATTGCAGAGAAAATGGCATTTTTTTTTTATTGTAGAGCTGATGGGTTGATCACCTCTGGGAATCAAAAACAAAAGTGGAGCTTGGCCTTAAAACTGAGCTTAGAAAAACTACATCTAGGTTCCCCCCCCCCCCACATTTAGTGTAGGGGCCCCGCCGCACCGTCTGGGCCAGTAGTCTGTGTGGCCCTTACCTAGGCCCTGGGTCCTTACCTATCTGCTTACTTGGGCTGATGAAGGTAAAAATATGAAAACTGGATTTTAGCAGCTAAGTGACTTGTGCTGTTCATCCCTTTTCTCTTTTTCTGTTCTTTGTTTTTCTGGAATCTTTTGTAGAATTGGATTCTGCAGAAAAAAAAAATACAATGTGGTACAAGTCATTATTATGGGGGATGTAGGGAGCACAAATGTGGAAGTATTGATTTGTAAAGGAGCTATAATTAGAGTGATCCCTAGCAGTCTCATGTAATGTCTATGACTGTCTTCTGCAGCATGTCCTCAGTCTACAAAAAAAATCTCTGAACATTTCTTGTAGCATGTTAGTGATCTCTGACCATCTCCCGTATCATGTCTGCAGCCTCTGATCATCTAATGTATAATGTCTGCTGTCTCTGACCATCTCTTGTACCATGTCTGCTGTCTCTGACCATCTCTTGTACCATGTCTCTGTCTCTGACCATCTCTTGTACCATGTCTGCAGTCTCTGACCTCCTGTAACATGTCTGCAGTCTCTGACCATCTCTTGTGGCATGTCTGCAGCATCTGATCATCTATTGGATGATGTCTGCAGTCCCTGATCATCTCCTGTATCATGTCTGCCGTTTCTGACCATCTCCTGTATCATGTCTGCTGTCTCTGACCATCTCCTGTATCATGTCTGCCATCTCTGACCATCTCTTGTATCATGTCTGCCGTCTCTGACCCATGTCTGCAGTCTCTAACCATCTCCTGTATCATGTCTGCAGTCTCTAACCATCTCTTTATCATGTCTACAGTCTCTGACCATCCCCTGAAGCATGTTTTCAGTCTCTGATCATCTCCTGTATCACATAAATGAAGAATGCACTCTACCATGAAACTGTACTGTTATTTCAAACCAGGGTAAAACATCACAATTGTAGTCCATTTACACGTTTCTGCCAGCAAACGGGCCTTAATAATGAGTTATGCTTCAATGCAATAAATACAATACAAATAAAGTGTTCCATACAGCTCCACAATGAGTGCCAGCTTAATTTGCAAGACTTATGTGTCAGGCTTACGGGAATGCAAGAGCATGGCGAGTTTCGTTTGCTGCATATCTGCTTTATCATGTCTGACCATCTCCTGTAGTATGTCTGCAGTCTCTGACCATCTCCTGTAGTATGTCTGCAGTCCTGACCATCTCCTGTAGTATGTCTGCAGTCCCTGACCATCTCCTGTAGTAAGTCTGCAGTCTCTGACCACCTCCTGTAGTATGTCTGCAGTCTCTGACCATCTCCTGTAGTATGTCTGCAGTCTCTGACCATCTCTGTAGTATGTCTGCAGTCCCTGATGATCTCCTGTAGCATATCTGCAATCTTTAATAGCATGCCTGTAGTCTTTGACTATCTTCTTTTGTACATCTTCTGTCTTTTTAAGCATTATATTTACTTAATATTATGTGTGACCTTTTCGTGATGTCTGGGACCGCACTTGAGGCTCCTTACATTAACAAAGTTGGCCATCACTAGTCTAGCGGGATATAACAGAGAGGGGTATTGGCTTATTCCCCGATCTCACAGGCTTCCTCCCCAGTATTTACAACTGGTTCCATGAAGCCACTCTTCCTCTCCATTCATGAGGTTATTGTCCTGCATTGTACATGAGGACATCGAGGACCCGCTCACATGGAGAGGGACTGCAGAAGATCATTGGCTGTTTGGAAGTGAGGAACAAGGAAAGTATTTATCCATGTCCAATCCGCCTAGACCAGCCATTCTCAGCCAGGGTTCCATGGAACCTAAAAGGTTCCTCCAAAGATTGCTAGGGGTTCCTTGAGTTGTTTCTGATGACCCTCCATCTGATGATACCTGCACAATTTTCAATTCCACTTAGCAGAGCTAGCACCAATGATCTTTTTATCTGTTTGTAAGGTATCATTCTTCGAACTGACCACCAATGTAAGGAGCATTCTTCTCAATGACCACCAATGTAAGGGACATTCTTCCCACTGACCTTCAATGTAAGGGACATTCTTCCACTGATCACCAATGTAAGGGGCATTCTTCCCACTGACCACCAATGTAAGGGACATTCTTCCCACTGACCACCAATGTAAGGAGACATTCTTCCCACTGATCACCAATGTAAGGAGCATTCTTCCCACTGACCACCAATGTAAGGGACATTCTTCCCACTGACCACCAATGTAAGGAACATTCTTCCACTGACCACCAATGTAAGGGACATTCATTCTTCCCACTGACCACCAATGTAAGGAACATTCTTCCCACTGACCACCAATGTAAGGAGCATTCTTCCCACTGATCACCAATGTAAGGGACATTCTTCCCACTGACCTTCAATGTAAGGGACAATTCTTCCCACTGACCACCAATGTAAGGAGCATTCTTCTCAATGATCAATGTAAGAGACAATTTAAGGAACATTCTTCCCACTGACCATTAATTTAAGGAACATTCTTGTCACTGACCACCAATCTAAGGGACCATTCTTCCCACTGACCACCAATGTAAGAGACATTCTTCCCAATGACCACCAATGTAAGGGACATTCTTCCCACTGATCACCAATGTAAGGACATTCTTCCCACTGACCACCAATGTAAGGGACATTCTTCCCACTGATCACCAATGTAAGAGACATTCTTCCCACTGACCACCAATCTAAGGAGCATTCTTCTTACTAACCGCGAATGTAAGAGTCATTCTTTCCACTGACTACCACTGTAAGGTACGTTACACCCTTACCATACAGGAAGGGGTAGGTGGACCCAAAGTTCCTTTTTTATAAAATGACCAAAGGTCAGCTTTAAGGCCCATGCTCAGATGCTCATTTTATGGACACAGCCCTAGTGATGACCATGAATGATATTCACAGCGGCAACTCTACCCCAACATTCCGACATCAGAGGCTTCCTGAGACCCCAGCCGGAGCTCCACCAGGAGAAATGAGATATAGGATTCTAGTTTCACAGGAAATTTCAGTTTGTAGGTTCTGGTGATGGAGCTGCAGCTCTTTTCCTGTTCAGCCTCCGCTGCGCAAGTAACAAACGTCAAATCACGAGGCCTTTGCCATTCATCACATAATCTAGTCTCTGAATAGATAGGCATTATCAGCAATCTGCTATTGATCTGCAGCGTCTGCGGCCATTGTTCATCCGAGGGGCCGGGAGTGGCAGCTGGAATTAATAAATGAAGCGGAACAGTGCATAACAATCACTTCACCAACTACTTCTCAAAAACTTTTTACTACATCCTACAACATCACAAGTGAGTCATCAGCTAATAAAATTGCTGTAGTTCTAGGTTTTCATGGTATCACTCACAAGAGATTAGTCATAAGATTTACCAGGGGTTCTTTATAAAGGAATGGTCATAGGATTAATGAGAGGGATTCTCCATAAAGGAATGGTCATAGGATTAATGAGAGGGATTCTCCATAAAGGAATGGTCATAGGATTATTAAGGGTGTTCTCTATTAGGAATTGGTTATAGGAGTAATGAGAGGGTTCCCATAAGGGACTGGTCATAGGATTAATGAGGCAGTTTTCTGCATTGGACTGATCATTGGATTTATGAGGAGGTTCCCTATAAGAAATTAATCATAGGATTATTGAGGGGTTCTCTATAAGAGATTGGCTATAGAATTAATGAGGGGTTCTCTACAAAGGATTGGACATTGGGTTAATTAGGAGGTTTTGCATAAAGGTTTGCTTTTAGGATTAATGAGGTGTTTTTTTTCCTATGAAAGGATTACTCACAGGGTTAATGATGGGGTTCTCCATAAAAGACTGGTCATAGTGTCAATATAAAGGATTGTTCATAGGATTATTGATTGGTTCTTCATAAGGGATTGGTTATAGGACAAATGAGACATTTCCCATAAGGGACTGGCCATAAGATTAATAAACAAGTTCTCCATACGAAATTGGTCATAGGATTAAAGAGGAGGTTCTCCATAAGGAATTGGTCATATGATTAATGAAGGGGTTCTCCATTAGGAATTGGTCATAGGAGTAATAAAAGGGTTCCACATAAGGGACTGGTCATAGATTTAAATGAGGACAGTCTCCATAACAGATTGGTCATAGGATTAAAGAAGGGGTTCTCTATAAAGGATTACTCATAGGATTAGTGAGGGGTGCACCATAAGAGATTGGTCAAAGGGTTAATTAGAAGGTCCCCTATGGGGGGGGGGTTAATCATCGAGTTAATGAAGAGGTTCTCCATAAGGGATTGATCATAGGAGTAATAAAAGGGTTCCCCATATAAGAGACTGGTCATAGAGTTAATGAGGACAGTCTCCATAACAGATTGGTCATAGGATTAAAGAAGGGGTTCTCTATAAAGGATTAGTCACAGGATTAGTGAGGGGTGTGCCATAAGAGATTGGGCACAGGGTTAATTAGGAGGTTCCCTGTGGGGGGGGGGGGGTTTAATCATAGGGTTAATGAGGAAGTTCTCCCTAACAGATTAGTCATAGGGTTAATGAAGAGGTTCTCCATAAGGGATTGGTCATAGGATTAATGAGGAGGATCTCCATAACATTTTTTGTAATAGGATATACAGTATGAAGGGGTTCTCTATAAACTGTTGGTCATGGGTGTAATGAGAGGGTTGGCCATAGAATTAATGATGGAGATCTCTGCAAGGGATTAATTTTAGGGTTAATGAAGAGTTTCTTCGTAAGGGATTGGTCATAGGGTTAATGAGGAGGTTCACCATAAAAGGGGTTGGTCATAGGAATAAAAAGGCTGTTACATGACTCTTAATTAATGAGGATTGTCTCATAGGTTTAAAGAAGGGGTTCTCCATAAAAGATTAGTCGCAGGATTATTGAGGGGTGCACCATAAGAGATTGGTCAAAGGGTTAATTAGGAGGTTCCCTATGAGGGGTTAATCATAGAGTTAATGAAGAGGTTCTCCATAAGGGATTGATCATAGGAGTAATAAAAGGGTTCCCCATAAGGGACTGGCCATAGAGTTAATGAGGACAGTCTCCATAACAGATTGGTCATGGGATTAAAGAAGGGGTTCTCTATAAAGGATAGTCACAGGATTAGTGAGGGGTGCGCCGTAAGAAATTGGTCACAGGGTTAATTAGGAGGTTCTCTGTGGGGGGGGGGTAATCATAGGGTTAATGAGGAAGTTCTCCTAACAGATTAGTCATAGGTTACATGAAGTGGTTCTCCATAAGGATTGGTCATAGGATTAATGAGGAGGATCTCCATAACATTTTTTGTAATAGGATATACAGTATGAAGGGGTTCTCTATAAAGTGTTAGGTCATGGGTGTAATGAGAGGGTTGGCCATAGAATTAATGATGGAGATCTCTGCAAGGGATTAATTGTAGGGTTAATGAAGAGGTTCTTCGTAAGGGATTGGTCATAGGGTTAATGAGGAGGTTCACCATAAAAGGGGTTGGTCATAGGAATAATGAGGATGGTCTTAATAATGAATTGGTCATAGGTTTAAAGAAGGGGTTCTCCATAAAAGATTAGTCGCAGGATTATTGAGGGGTGCACCATAAGAGATTGGTCAGAGGGTTAATTAGGAGGTTCCCTATGGGGGGTTAATCATAGTTAATGAAGAGGTTCTCCATAAGAGATTGATCATAGGAGTAATAAAAGAGTTCCCCATAAGAGACTGGTCATAGAGTTAATGAGGACAGTCTCCAAACAGATTGGTCATAGGATTAAAGAAGGGGTTCTCTATAAAGGATTAGTCACAGGATTAGTGAGGGGTGTGTGCCATAAGAGATTGGTCACAGGGTTAATTAGGAGGTTCCCTGTACGGGGGGGGGGGGGGGGGGGTTAATCATAGGGTTAATGAGGATGTTCTCCCTAACAGATTAGTCATAGGGTTAATGAAGAGGTTCTCCATAAGGGCTTGGTCATAGGATTAATGAGGAGGATCCCCATAACATTTTTTGTAATAGGATATACAGTATGAAGGGATTCTCTATAAAGTGTAGGTCATAGGTGTAATGAGAGGGTTGGTCATCGAATTAATGATGGAGATCTCTGCAAGGGATTAATTGTAGGGTTAATGAAGAGGTTCTTTGTAAGGGATTGGTCATAGGGTTAATGAGGAGGTTCACCATAAAAGGGGTTGGTCATAGGAATAATGAGGATGGTCTTAATAATGAATTGGTCATAGGTGTAATGAGAGGGTTGGTCATCGAATTAATGATGGAGATCTCTGCAAGGGATTAATTGTAGGGTAATGAAGAGGTTCTTCGTAAGGGATTGGTCATAGGGTTAATGAGGAGGTTCACCATAAAGGGGGTTGGTCATAGGAATAATGAGGATGGTCTTAATAATGGATTGGTCATAGGTTTAAAGAAGGGGTTCTCCATAAAAGATTAGTCATAGGATTATTGAGGGTTGCACCATAAGAGATTGGTCACAGGGTTAATTAGGAAGTTCCCTATGAGGGGTTAATCATCGAGTTAATGAAGAGGTTCTCCATAAGGGATTGCTCATAGAATTAATGAGGAGGGTCTCCATAACATTTTTGTCATAGGATTAATGAAGGTATTCTCTATAAAGTGTTGGTCATAGCAGTAATGAGAAGGTTCCCCATAAAGGTTTGGTCATAGGGTTAATGAGGAGAGTCACCATAACGTGTTGGTCATAGGAATAATGAGGAGTCCTCCAAAAGGGATTGGTATTAATTTGTGTCAGGAGTTCTCCTTTATTAGATTTAGAAATAAAGGAACATTAGAGTACATTCCCCTAACTGATTGCTAAAAGCTGCAGGAGGAAATTTCATCCTGTCCCTTCTCCCCAGCCAGCCATCCACCTTGCCCACCTCCGATCGCCAGCTCCATCCTTATGCTGGGTAATTTCCTTAATTGTGCGTTTGACTTGTTAGACTCGAACGTAAGCGAGGCAAATTTTCCAAGTGCTTTGTGGGGAGTACGGCACACTTGGCCCTGTCACTTTTAATTGCCCTACTATGAATAAGCTGCCTTTAAAAAATCCTTAATTAATTGCCTGAGAATGGCCACCGTTTTCAAAGTGCAGAGGAGCAATAAAGGTTTCCAGCGATATAAAAATTTGAGTTAGGGAATTGGAGTTAATGTGTTTGAGGTTCAATATTCTCAGGTGCCGAGATATGAACACTGCGCTGACTGAATGACAAAACATTTTACTGGTTTCACAAAAAAGGCGACGGGCTCATGCCGCGGAAGGGGAAGGAGAGTTTGGATGGCGCTGTCATGGCTGCCTCGAAGGACGGCTTACTTCAAACCCTTGGTGACTCCCTGTGTTAGCCTGAAATCTCTCTGCTCACCTCCCCTCTTCTAATTCTCCTGCAGTGCTCTGTATAAATGGGTAAAGAAAACCTATCATTGCAGCAATAAGTAGGCTGCCTTTGCAAACCTGCATGTCCGCAGTCTCTGACCATGACCTGTACCATGCCCACAGTTTCTGACCATCCTCTACACCATGTTCACAGTCTCTGACTATCTCCTGAACCATGTCCAAAGTCTCTGACCATCTTCTACACCATATCTGCGGTCTTTGATTATCTCCTGTATTGTTTCCGCAGTCTCTAACCATCTCCTGTACCATGTCCGCAGTCTCTGACCATCTCCTGAACCATGCCCACAGTCTCTGACCATCTTCTACACCATGTCCGCAGTCTTTGACCATCTCCTGAACCATGCCC